TGCAGTGCCTAGCATGTTGAAACGTCTCCGGGTGATTCACAAACAGTTCCTATCAAGTGTAGTGCCTGGTTTTTTTCACAGATAAGAGACTGTAGCCTACGTCAGTAGGACTGAGAGCGGGGCGGTCATACCCTGTGCCACTCCTGACTGAGTGTAACAAAGAGTATGTCAGTGACACCCTGACGGAGATTGCACAGGATGTGAATGTGTGCACTGTTTTATGCCCTTTGGATCCCAGCCTCACCCTTTAACGTTTGTCTCCTCTCTGGGGTGAGTGGGACCTTAGGCAAGTTTCCTTACTCCATTAGCGCTCTGAGGCGCTACTCTGCGTGGAGGGTGCTCTATAAGCGCAAGTTGTTGTTGTCGTTGCTTACCTAGCAGGAAGTAGGTCAATTTGTAGATCGCTTTCCGGGGGTAATAATCCCTCCAAAAAAAAATAATGATAATAATAATAATTTGATCAGTTAATCTAACGTTTGAGGGACGCTGCTGTGTGCAATTGGCTGCCGCGTTTCGCCCACAAAATAGTGTCAATTAACTTTATAGTGTATTCTGTGAAGCGCTTTGAGACGTCTCAGCGACGTGAAAGGCCCTACATCAAATGCAAGGATTATTATTAATATTATTATTACAAAGAGTGGTGATGTGCATCACGACAGTGTGTCCTGGACACAAAGCTCCTAATGATGTGCAGTGTAAAGTACCATGTTAAGCATTAAGCGGACTGTTTGGGCTGTATAATTCCATGATAACACAGCCTTGCCCAGGGGCCAGACCATCTAGCAATCGTCTTAAAACAATACAACATCCGTGTGCTGTGGTTAAACAGTCAGGATCACTCCCTTCACTGTGGGTTATGTTAAATTCCTCTTGTGTTGGTACTGATGCGTTGCTGTGATCAAGCCCTAATCTATTTTAGGAGCCGGTGTATTCCTGCCCACTGCTACAGGGGTTTATATCTTTCTTTGTTTGACGTCCGCAAACAAACAGGTTCTTTCATTCACACGCGAGTGTCTCTCTCTCTCTTTCGCTCTGTGTGTTATCAACTAGTTCCTTGGAAGCTAGATCCAAGGAGGTAGTTAATAACACAGATAGAGAGAGAGAGAGAGAGAGGCCGGTCCTTTGGGAATGTGTTCCTGCCTGGAATCAGACCTATTTTACCAGTCTGTCTATGACCTCTTGCAGTCCGCTACTATCCTCCTCACTGTTTATTACTTTTCCTACCTTAGTATCATCTGCAAACTTGGAAATTGTACTCCCTATACCCAAGTCCAAGGCACTCATATAGATCAAAAAGAGCAGTGGTCCCAATACCGACCGCACACTTCCCTCCAGTCAGAAAAACAACCGTTCACCACCACTCTCTGCAATCTGTCTCTCACCCAGTTCTGTATCCGCTGCCACTGTCCCTTTAATACCGCGGGCTTCTATTTTGCTTACAAGTCTCTTATGTGGCGCTTTATGAAAATCCATATAAACTATATCAACTGCGCTACCTTCATCCACCCGCTCTGTTACTTCATCAAAATATTATCTTTTTTGGGAGGAAGGATTATTACCCCTGGAAAGCGATCCACGAATCAACTAACAACCGGGTTCCTACTTACTTACTGCTAAGTAAACAGAGGTGAGTGGAGTACGAAAGGTTTCGACCTGTCTGGGAATCGAACCTGGGTCCTCTCGCTTGCAAGGTGAGTGCTCTAACCAATGAGCTATTGGACTCCGGAATTCAGCATATAAATAGGTGTAAACAAACAGTCACAGCTGGGAAGGGAGGTCGGGATGGGGAAGGTGAGGGGGAAAGACACCTCAGTGCCCAGGAATGATTTTTGCAAAGCAAATAAATGAAATATAATTTCATACATTTCATCTCGATGACGATACAAACTCGAGATGAAAGGGGAATTTTTTTAAGAGCGAGAAAAGCCAATGGAATAGTTCACCTCCTATTGCAATCAACAGCAACATTAGCTCATCTCAAGGGTCTTTGTGAGGCTGTGGATCGTATAAATGCTTCGCCCACAAAATACACAGTCAATTCACTTTATAGTATATCCTGTTAAGACCTTTGAGACGTCTCGAAGACGTGATGAGACGTGATATCAAATGCAATAATTATTATTATTATTATAAATGTGGGTGTGGAAGTGTTACACTCTCACCCAGAGAGCGAGTTTGCTGCTGGTTGACTCATGGCTGTTTGTATGTGACAGAGAAAAGCACTGCCAAAGCTTCTCTGTCTCTCTCTTTCTCTCTCTCTCTCTCTCTCTCTCTCTCGCCGCAGTGAGGCCTGCAGATGAGCTAACCTGCTTTTCCAGTAAAAGCCGTGTGTCGTTTCTGCTCTTAGAAATCCCTCCCGTCAGACCTGATGGTAAAGGTTGGCTTAGGAGAACTCTCCCAGGTCAGATCAGGCGATGCACGTTTGATGAGGTTTGACGATACATCTGGGAATCGATGATACAATGCAAAATTATATTTCCGCATCGGGAGGACGTCCCAAGTCAGGGATTTGGACCAGAGCTGGGATTGGGATCAGGAGGGGTAGAGGGCAGGGAGGGGAGGAGTAGAAGGTACCGTCAAAGAGGAGGGTCTTGAGATGTGCCTTGATAGAGACAAGGGAAGGCGAAGGCACTGTGGGATGGTGTACCAAAGGGTGGGGGCAGAGAGGCTGAAGGTTCGACTGGTGATGGTGGGGCGGGCTGGTGGGGCGGGGGGAACATGGATCAGATCGGAGACTGCTGAGCGGAGGTGGATATGGGGGTTAGCAGGTCACAGAGGTAGTGAGGAGCAAGGCTGAAGAGGCCTTCACCCCATAATAACAATGATAATAATAATCTTTCCATTTGATATAGCGCCTCATCACGTTGAGACGTTTCAACGTGCTTCACAGCATATACTGTAAATGTATGCATGTATTTTGCGGGCGAAATGCAGCAGTTAGCTTGCACGCAGCAGTGTCCCCAAAAACAGTCATGGAACAAGTGACCAATTTTATTTGGGGGATTGTTGGCCAGGCCATCCTGACGTTATAAGGCGTTGTATCAAATGTAGACGTATTGTGCACAAATCGCTGTGAGTGATTCAGACACAATAGCTCTCCCGGATGATCTGGTTCAGGATATTTAAGTGTGGGAATGAAGCAGAGGCTGTTTGTGTTGGCTGCGGAGATTCTGAGGGAGAGATCTGAGAGACTCCCACGCTGCTTATTTTAGTTTTTTCCTTTTTTATGTTTTTTCTTCTTGTTGCTCAGGGGTTGTCTGGAGGCTGAACGCTGAGGACAGGGAGGAAGAGAGGGAGGGAGGGGGTGAGGTGAAGTGGGGGGTGGGGGGAACGACGTAATTGATGGGGTGTGACGGGGCTGAGCCAGAAAGATATATCCGTTGATGCAGAGACTGAGAGAGCGCTGTAAAAACCAGGAAGTGGGATTGAAAGGGTGTGTGTGTGTGTGTGTGTGTGATGGGGCTCAAGCAACAAATGACGTTCGCACGGTGCATTTCACATCGGGAGGATGTTCCAAGGCGCTGAAAAGCAAAGTTATTGCCCCCACAAGTTAGCAATTGACCCTCAACCCCACCCAGAATACTAGCATTTAATTAGCATTTAATTAGTTTTAATTAAAACTGATAATCCCGGCTCTTTATGATAGTCCTCACATTTGATACAGCACCTTATCACGTCACCGTTGCGTTTAAAAGCTGAGGAGTCGCTGCAACGTGTAGTGACTGCGTGCTTTGTGGGAGAGATGCGGCAGCCAATTACACGCAGGAATGTCCCACAAACAGTTGAGGAGTAAGTGACCAAATTTTTTAACCCCTGGAATTATTATCCCCGGAAAGCGATCCGCCGATCAGCTAACCGCGACTTGCGATTTAAAATGTAAAGTGTAGTGACTGGGTATCTTGTGAGCGAATCACGGTAGCCATGTTGGGCAAAGCGACATCCTCGAAAATAGCCATGAAGTGAATGAGGGGATTTTTATCTGAGGGATTGTCAGCCGGGAGGGGGGGGGGGGAGCGTTTCAGGGGGTTTGTCATTCTCCACCAGGACTGTGTCATCTCCCACTGACCCTCACTTTGTTCTCTCTCTCTCTCCCCCTTCTCTCTCTGTCTCCTCTTTCGCACACTCTCTCCCTCCCTCTCATACTTTCGAAATCCTGAAAGAGGAGGAGAAAGTCTCGTGGAGTAGTGGTTAGAGCACTCGCCTCGCAAGCGAAAGGACCTGGATGCAAGGATTGTTATTATTACAATATTATTATGATGATTATTTATTATTATTATTATTATCCTTTCCTTTCCGGAATCTGTGAAGGGGACAATGAGTGTTTGGCGGTGGGTCACTGGGACCTGGGGGACCCTCCTGGGAGGGCGGTGATATGGGTCACGTAGGCGAGCACGTCCTCAGCTTTGATTCCCCGGCAGTGAGATATAGCGCCTTGTCACGTCTTCTCGAGATTCACGGAAGGGAGGGAGGGAGTGAGGGACGGAGGGAGGGAGAGAGTAAGGGAGGGAGGGAGGGAGGGAGGGAGGGAGGGAGGGAGGGAGGGAGGGAGGGAGGGAGGGAATGTTTTATGGGCAAAATTCGGTCGTGGATTGAGTGACCAATTTGTTTTCAAAAATTTTTTGAATCAAATTATTACCCCCGGAAAATCGATCCGCCCATCAACTAACCACCGGGTCCCCACTTACTCGCTCGCTGAACAGTGGCGCACGAACAACAACAACAAATCCAACAAATGACATCTGTACAGAGCCGTGTACGTCGGGAGGACGTCCCTAAGGCGCTGAAAATACACTCGCTCCTCGGCTGTTTGTGGGACAAAACCAAAGCACCGTGTTGTACCGTGGCATCGTTCATCCGGGGTGGTTGGTGAGGAGGTTGTCTGATCACCAGACGAGGAGGTGGTAATGGCAAAGTGATCAGTGCTTTTGATTCTGAAAGGATTGAGCGTCTTGAGATGTCCTCCTATTGTGAAAGGCTCCATACACGTGTCATTTGTGGGTTGTTGTTGTTGTTGGAGGGATTAATCTTTCTGATGCCCACCCTACATGACTTGACTTGCCCCGGACAAAGGAGCTGCACTGCCTATAAGCACAGTGACTGCGAGCTACACAAGAAGAAGAGCCCAGAAGAGCGAGACCATCAAGACTGCAACGACGTAGAATCTCCATCTCTGCCCTCACTCCATCACTCGCTCAACTCCACGCCTCAGTTGTGAGTATTCAACCTGATCATTACAATTGTGTTGCGTGGTTTTGTTTTACCCGTCCCCCGTCCCCTCCGCTCCACCATCGGTGGCCGTGTCCTCAGCCACTACGCCCCGTTCCTGAAGCGTCTGAGGTGTCTTCAGGCACTATGCTCTCTCTCCTTCGATCCCTCCGTATTGCCCCCTCCCCCCCTCAAAGGCAAGCAGGGGCCAACACTCAAGCAACATAGGAAAGTTTAAAAGAAAAATTGTGCCTTTTTCGATGGGAACTTGTGGTTTCCCATTACCTATGTAATGCTAACATGTTCTACATCCCATGTTAATGTGTGTTCTTTGCTCACATACTGTGCTTGAGCGCTGCCATGTGGTGCTGGAAGGAACTTCACTCCACTCCAACACTTGGCAATGGCCTTCCTCGATGTGGCGATAGGGACATGGACTGTAGGTTTAATAATATTATTAACAGTGCTACTCCTTGCAGTTGATATAGCGCCTTACAATGTCAACCTCACTCACACATCTCAAAGAGCTTCACAGCATATAATGTAAAATTAATTTTGTGGACAAAATGCAAATAGCGCTCAGCAGTGTCCCAACAAACAATCATGGATTGACCAAGTGACCAAATAATCATTTTTTTAAAGGGATTATTACCCCGGAAAGTGATCCGCCAATCGACTAACAACCGGGTTCCTACTTACTGTTAGATAAACAGAGGCGTGTGGAGTAAGGAAACTTGCCCAAGGTTTCGCCCTACCTAGGAATTGAACCCGTGTCCTCTCGCTTGCGAGCTGAGTGCTCTAACCACTACGCTACAGGACTGCAAATGTGTATCTTTCAGACTGCCTTCTGTTTGTCAAGCGTAGAGTGTTACAAGAGGATATTTTTGGAGCCGACAGACACTGAGCAAAATAGGTCATCGATTGACTCGTTCCTATTGTTCGGCTTCATGTTATTGGTGAATATGCTTGTTATAAATATAATATTTCATATTATTAATAATCACGCTGAGAACAAAATGGGTCTTTTATCTCTTTTGCGATTCCAGGAACGAGAGTGGAATCATTTCTTCAGTTTCCGATTTAGCCTTTTGTTCAAAAATGTCGCAAAGCATTTACACAACAAGGCACTTTTGTTGCATTAATTAAGTCCCGTCAAATGTGTCTGCCTTAGAAATCTGACCAGGTCTTTGTGTCGTTTCCCAGCAAAGGACGCAAGTCTCTCGCTCTCTCAGGTTAATCAGATTGGCCAATTTTTTTCACACTTGTTTTTGTCCTCTTGCCTCTATTGACGTCTCCTGATGTATTTAGTTAGCACTAAATCAGGACTGAGCTGGGTGTGAGTCATCAATATAAGGGGTGGGGGAGCGCGTTTTCCTCAATTTGATAATTAATTTCTAATTACTAATCAGCCTTACTTTTGATACAGAACCTTAGGCAAGTTTACTTACTCCATATTCACACCTCTGTTTACCTCGCAGTAAGTAGGAACCCGGTTGTTAGTTGGTTGGCGGATTGCTTTCTGGGGGTAATAATCACTTCAAAATAATAATAATTTGGTCGCTCAATCCATAACTGTTTGTGGGATACCGCTGTGCGCAATTGACTATTATGTTTCACCCATAAAATATCTTTGAACAGAGAGCCGAGCAGCGTGAGGAGGGAACTGAATGAGGTGGAATAGAATGAGAATTCTGTTAAGGAATTTGGTGAGAGTGGAAATTCAGTGCAGAGGGGGAAAGAGGTGCAGAATTATAAAATATATAACATTTATGTCTGGAAATACAATAGGGCAACCGGTTGCATACACAATGTGTGCCATGTGGAAACTCCAGGATGTTTTGTGTGCTCTGGACAGGTACTTGTCTAGGAAGTGCCTCCGGCTGCTGGAGCTTGAGCTCAGGGTTTCTGAGCTTGAGGAGAGGCTGGTGTCACTACATACGGGAGGCTGAAGAGTTCATGGATTGAACGTTTCAAAAGGTGGTCACCCCACAGCCACAGAGGGTTCAGAAGGAGAGTGAGTGGGTGACCACTCGGTATGGTAGGAAGAGGGGACGGGCAGTCAGAAATTCCCTGAGAGTGTGGCACTCACAGACCAATTCTCTGTACTGAATATTGGTCAGGGTGATGACACCTCTGGAGAGGGGTGTTAAAAGCAAATGGATGCACAAGGGGACACAGGGAAGAGTGTCAATGCGATTGTCATTGGGGACCCAATGGTGAAAGGAGTAGACGGGCGTTTCTGCCACCAAAGACGTGACTCTCGCGTGGTATGTTTGTTGCCTCCCTGGTACCAGGGTTGAAGACATTACGGAATGGGTTCTACAGGGAGAAGGGGAACATTCAGAAGTCGTGGTCCATGTTGGGATCCATGACGTAGGAAATAAAAGGGCTGAGATCCTACATAGAGAGTATGAGAAGCTAGGGAAAAAACTAAAGAGTAGAATCTCAAAGGTAGTGATCTCTGGATTATTCCCAGTGCCTTGTGTGCAAGTGAGTATCAAAACAGCAGGATCAAATGAATGCATGGCTGGAGAAATGGTGCAGAAAGGAGGGTTTCAGATTCCTGGATCATTGGGACCACTTTTGGAGAATGTGGGACGTGTACAAATTGGATGGGTTACACCTGAACAGAGCTGGGACCTATGTCCTCGCAGGGAGGTTAGCTAGTGCTGTGGGGAAGGGAATCAAGATTTAGCATTAGAGAGGACAAATAAGTTACATAGAGGACTGGGAGAGACGAATAGCAATGTAATCAGGAGTAATCCAGCAAAAGGAGGGCTTAGACGGGGAGAAATGCAGCACAGACTAAGTCAGTCTTGGAATGCATGTGCGTAAATGCACGGAGTGTGACAAAAAGATTGGTGATCTGCGGCTCAAGTTGCCACATGGGGTCATGATGTAGTGGCAATAACAGAGACTTGGCTCAAACGAAGGCAGGAATGGGAGCTGAATATTCCTGGCTACAATATATTCAGGAGGGATAGGGAAGGAAAAAAAGGAGGGGCGGTGGGTGTCAATATTGATTAAAGACACGGATACGGCCTGGAAAGGGACGATGTGCTCGAGGGTCCAAAAACAGTATCTATTTGGTTACAGTTAAGGAGTAGAAAAGCAGCTGTTACTCTGTTAGGTGTATACTGTAGACCACCAAATAGTGGGAAGGAGATAGATGAGAAAATCTGCAACAGATTTCAGAAAGATACAAAACCAATAGAGTAGTGATAATGGGGGACTTCAATTATCCTAACGTAGACTGGCAAAATAACAGTCTAAAGGGCAAGGAGGGGGAAGGTGTCCTGAAATGTGTGCAGGATAACTTTCTGATCAGTATGTTTCCAGCTCAACGAGGAAGGAAGCTGTGCTGGATCTAGTTCTGGGGAAGGAAGTGGAGCAGGTTTCCGTAGGAGAGCATCTGGACAACGGTGATCACAACATCATTAGGTTAGAGTACTTATCAAAAGGGGCAAGAAGTAATCAAAGGTGAAGATACTCAACTGGAAGAGGGCTAATTTCAATGCGTTAAAAAGGGACCTGGCCAAGGTGGACTGGAAAGAAAGATTGGCAGGTAAAGCAGATAACGAGCAATGTCTTCAATGAGGAGATAGTTCAGGGAAAGAACAAATACATTCCCACAAAGGGGAAAGGTAGGGCATCCAAAGCTCCCTGGATGAATAAGGAAATTGGGATTAAAATAAAACAGTAAAAGGAGGCTTATGATAAATGTCAGGTCCAAGATACAGAAGACAATCAAATAGAATATAGAAAGAATAGAGGAGAACCGAAAAAGGAAATAAGAGGGGCAAAGAGATTGTATGAGAAAAGATTAGAGGGTAACATAAAAAGGAACGTAAAATATTTTATCTGCATATAAAGAATAAAAGATTAGTTAAAGGTAGGGCGGGTCCAATCAAGGACCAAAGAGGAAATCTTCTCGTGGAGGCAGAGGGCATGGCTGAGGTACTGAATGAGTATTTTGCAACTGTCTTCACAAAAGAAGAGGATGCAGCCAATGCCAATATCGGAGGAGAGGGTAGAAAAATTGGATAAGATAAGAATAAACAAGAGGAGGTACTAAAAAGATTGTTGGTGCTCAAGGTAGATAAATCACCTGGTCCGGATGGGATGCATCCTAGGTTACTGGGGGAAGTAAGGTTGTAAATAATGGAGGCTCTGGCCACAATCTTTCAGTCCTCCTTGGACACCAGGTTGGTGCCAGAGGACTGGAGAGTTGCAAATGTTACTCCCCTGTACAAAAAGGGGCAGAAGGATAAACCCAGGAACTACAGGCCAGTCAGCCTAACGTCAGTAGTGGGGAACTTCTAGAGACTATAATCTGGGATAAAATACATTTTCACTTAGAAGAATATGGGTTAATAAAGGACAGCCAACATATATTTGTTAAAGGCAAATCATGTCTAACAAATCTGATAGAGTTTTTTGATGAGGTAACGGAGAGGATGGATGAAGGTAGTGCAGTTGATGTAGTTAATATGGATTTTCAAAAGGTGTTTGATGAAGTATCACTTGTAAGACTTGAGGTGGTGAACAGTTGTTTTTCTGACTGGAGGGAAGTGTGCAGTGATGACTCCAGGGATCAGTATTAGGACCGCTGCTGTTTTTGATCTATATAAATGACCTGGACTTGGGCATAGGAGTACAATTTCCAAGTTTGCAGGTGATACTAAGCGAGAAAAAGTAATAAACAGTGAGGGGGATAGTAGCGGACTGCAAACAGACATAAACAGACTTGTAACATGGGCAGACACGGGGCAGATGAAATTTAATGTGTAGAAATGCAAACTGATGCATTTTAAGAGGAAGAATGAGGAGAGGCAATATAAGCTGATGGTACAATCTTAAAGGGGGTGAAGGCATAGAGAGACCTCGGGTTTATATAGTAAATCTTTGAAGGACAGGTAGATAAAGCTGTTAAAAAAGCATACGGGACACTAGGCTTTATAAATAAGGGCATAGAATACAGAAGTTATGATGAACCACTGGTTAGGCTCAGTTAGAGACTGTGTTCAGTTCTGGGCACCACACTTTAGGAAGGATGTCAAGGCATTGGAGAGGGTGCAAAGGAGATTTACCAGGATGGTCAGGAATGAGGCTCACCACTTTTAAAATAGTGCTAAACAAAATAGAGGGCATGTGAGGAGAAGTTTTTTTACACACAACGAGTTGTTGGGATCTGGAAGGCATTGCCTGAAATGGTGGTGGAAGCTGATTCGATGCCAGCTTTTAAGAGAGTAGATAATTATTTGGGGAGGACAAGTCTGCAGGGCTATGGGGAGAGCGCGGGGGAGTAGGGGAGACATCTCTTTTCACAGACATGATGGGCCGAATGGCCTCCTTCTGTGCTGTATTATTCTATGATTCTATGATATTTTTTGAAGCGCTTTGAGGCGTCTCAATGACATGATAATGAGCTATATCAAATGCAAGGATTATTATTCCAAGGGTTGACGCCTCCAACAATTCAGTGCTTCCCCCAAAAAATTGTGCTATAGAGTCGATTTAGACTGGAGCTCAAAGTCATGACATGCGGTTTAAATATACAATCTTTTATCTCAGAGGCAAGAATGTCACTGATTGTTACTGAAATTCACCGGCGTTTTTTGTATTCTGTTTCTTCCCCTTAATTTGGACCTGCTTTTTGCCATGATTTTTGCCGGGTTTTTATTTTGTGGATAAAATTTTAATGATCCTTATGGAATGGACAGTGTAGAGGGAGCTTTACTGCGTCTCTAACCCTGACCTGGGAGTGTGAACGGACAGGGTAGAGGGAGCTTTACTGTGTCTATAACGCTGTCCTAGGAGCGTGGACGGACAGGTTAGAGGAAGTTTAGTATTTAATTGTGAAGCCAATTTATTTTCATAAGAACTGTGGGAATAAGTGGCCCCTAAATTAAGACTTGATTAATTTTCTGATTTTGCAGACTTTTAAATATTAAAAGGCTAAGATCATGGGAAATTTGAGGCTTTGATTCCTTTGCCTGTGGTTTGATCCACTCAGTCGCTCACTCACGCTCAGTAGACTTTCCCAGAAGACATGTGAGTTGAGCCTGGCTCGCAGACCAGGTCTCTCTGAGAGAGTTTACTGGAAGCCAGTTAGCTATTAATACTGTATCTCAACAATCTCACACTAACAATAAATTTAGACCTACGTTCCTAAGCTTTCCCTCCTAATAATTTAGCTGTGACTTGTGCCTGATGTATTTTAATGTTGTTATTCCAGGTTTATTCATCGTGGGGAACGGCAGAGCGGGGATTTTGGACAGCTGAGATTAAACGGACCTGAGGTCTTAAACCCTAAATTGACAGCCTGGCTCTGCTGGTCATTCGCAGTCTCACCTCTGGCTCAGAAACATTACGTTTCATTAGGTGGAGTCCCGTAGCTTAGTGGTTAGCGCGGCTCGCCTCGCAAACGGGTTTGATTCTCGGGTGGGGCAAAACCGTAGGCAAGTTTCCTTACTCCACAAAACTCTGTTTGCTTAGCAGTAAGTAGGAACCCAGTTGTTAGTCGATTGTTGGATCTCTTTTCCGGGGGTAATAATCCCTCCAAAAAAAGAAATTTGGCCACTCAAATTCACGACTGTTTATGGAGGGACACTGCTGTGTGCAATTGGCTGTTCGCCCACAAAATACACAGTATCCGCGCTCCTGGACACTTTGTCTTGTTCCTCTGCTGTGACGTGGGTGGTAATTATGAATATTTGGTCCAGTATCATCGTGCCAGACCCTGCCATGTCCACAAATAGTGGGAGGATTGTCGGCCTAGGAGAGAAATTAATTCCCCTCTCTTTTCCAGTAACGTCGCAGGAAGTTTGACATCCGTCTGAACAGATGGGAGCTCAGTTTAATGTCTCACTCTGAGGATGGTGCCACTGACAATGAAGTGCACTCTCCCCCACCTCCCCACACCCTGCAAACACTGCACTGGAGTGTCAACCTTAGCCAAGTTTCCACACACCTCTGTTTACCCAGCAGTAAGTAAGAACCCGGTTGTTAGTCGATTGGCGGATTGGTTTTCCGTTGGTAATAATCCCTTAAGAAAAAATATAAAAATAATAATTTGGTCATTCAATCCACAACCGTTTGTGGGACGCTGCTGTGCACAATTGGATGCCTCGCTATATCAAATGTAAGGAATATTATTATAATTGTGAACTCCAAGGCCCAATCTGGGGGGTTGAACCCATAGCTTCCTGAACCAGAGTCAGACACTGACCAGTAATATGTTGCTCCGAGCATCAGAGCTCAGGAGTTGAGCAATGAAGCAGATTACACAGAAGGTGGTTTGGATTTGACAGTGACGGCTGCTGCTGAACAAACGCATTTCACGTGGTTTCCTATTCATATCGCAATGTGCTGGGCCACTCCTGGAGTCCATCTACTCTCTGTTTTAGGTGCGAATCAAGATTATTTGTAGCCCCAATTTGCAGGTGTTGCACTAGCCAGCAGTTTCTGGAGTTCTCATAATAACCTTACATTTAATAAATAGCGCCTTATCATGTCGTTCAGATGCCTCAAAGCGCTTCACAAAATATACCATAAAGTGAATTGACTGTGAATTGTGCGGGAGAAATGAGGCAGCCAATTGCACACAGCAGTGTTCCACAAACAGTTGTGGATTGAGTGATCAAATTATTTTTTTAAAAAGGGAATATTACCCCTGGAAAAGCGATGCCAATTGACTAACAACCGGGTTCCTACTTACTGCTGGGTAAACTGAGGCGTGTGGAGGAAGAAAACTTGGCTAAGGTTTTGTCCCACCTGGGAACTGAAACCAGGTCCTCTCGAGCGCTCTAACCACTATGCCGCAGGGCTTCAGCAGAGCTTGTGGATATGTAGGACACTTCCCCCCCACACCCACACATACACCACACCCTCCCAGCTGCTGTGTATCCTCAGTGTCTGGATGCCAGTAGTCAATTCGTACACAACTCCCCTTATGGCGTGTGTGCTCAATTCTCCCTGAAACACAGCTTGCTATAGGACAGCTATAGGACTGACACCGTGGGGTATAAATAGCACAGGGAGTTTAGAGGATGAAATGACACTTCCTCATTTCCCCTGATTACGACATTGCAACTCAGTTTGTAAAAACAACTTGCACTCATATAACGATCACTTTCACGTAAGATGGACAGTGCAAAGCATCTCACAGAGCCTATAGGGAGCAACAAGTGGGGAATAAGGGGGAAGGAGAATTTAGGAGTACTGAACCAAAGGTGTGGGCAAAGAGATAAGAATCTTATCAGGGGTTAGAAAGGCAGGAAGAGAGAAAGTATATGTGTAGTTTGCAATTGAGCGCCTTATCAAGTCTTTGCGACATCTCAAAGCCCTTCACAAAATATGCTCTGAAGTGTATTGTGTGACTCTATTGTGTGGGTGAAACGCAGCAGTCAATCGTGCACAGCAGTGTTCCACGAACAGTTGTAAATTGAGTGACCAAATTATTTAATATTCTTTGTGTGGGAGGGAGGGAGAGAGAGTGTGAATAATCACCCAATCTTTCAACTCCCAGTTAAGGAGGGCGAAATGTTTCCTTACTCCACACGTCTCAGTTTATCTAGCAGTAAGCAGAAACACAGTTGTTAGTCGATTGGCGAATCGCTTTTTCGGGAGTAATAATTCCTTCAAATAATAAATTGCTCACTCAATCCAAGACTGCACTCCCATCTACCCCATGAGCAATCCAGGACTATTATTATTCGTTTAAGGGATGCTGGAGAAGGTAGAGCTGGTTGAAGTCTTGCACAGTAAACCGAGTGCCCAAATCCAGACTATCTCCAGGCCTCCGATGTGGGCAAGCTATTGTCCAGCTTCTCCGTCCCTTTGGCCTGCAAGAGGAACAGGAAGGTCTTGATGGGAGCAGAGGTGGAACTGGAGGCCAAAGCCTTGTACCCCAAGGATGCCCCCACAGACATGGTTCCCCTGAGCTGCCAGGAGTCTGTAGCTAGCATGAACCACCTGCCCATGACCAACCTGGAGACAATTTTCGACGCTGATGTCAAGGTTTCCTTCTTCACCAGCACCTTCACTGACATGTGACCATATCTAGGCTCTGGCCTTGGGTTCTCCACAGCGACGGGTCCTCCATCAACCCCATAAATGACCTGAACATCAGGCCCTACTCCATAAAAAGGCAAAGATTATTATTACTTCAATCGGATCATTCGACCCAGGGTCAGTGCGAGGGCGCTGTCGGGTCACCCAGTCCCAGACCCCCCACGTCATGAGAGGCCGGGGAAAGCCTCTTCCTGCTCGGTCTTCAGGCCTTGGTATGCTGCTCTTGTCATGCCAGCCCGCGCCCTCCACTGATGCAGCTCGGAGCAGGTTTTGCCTCAAGACCTTGGAGCTCCTGAACGTGGCATTGGCAGCCTGGTGCAGTGGTACCACGCATGCCTCTTAGTCAGGAGGTTGTGCGTTCAATCCCCCACGTCATGACTTGAATTCACATAGTCTAAGCTGATGCTCCAATGCAGTGCTGGGGGAGCACTGTACTGTTTGAGGTGTCATCCTTTGGATGAGACTTTAAACTGTGGTCCTGTCTGCCTGTTCAGCTGAACGTTAAAGATCCCGCAGCGCTATTCAAAAAGAAAAGAGATTTCTCTCTCCCAGTGTACTGGCCAATAATCCCCCAAATAAAATTGGTCACTCTCTCCACGACTGTTTGGAGTGTTTGCCCACAAAAACTCTACAGCATGAAGTGCTTTGAGACGCCTCAATGACCTGGTACGGCGCTGTACTAAACACAAGGATTATTATTGATCATATTAATTATTGATGCCAATGACCATTTTGCATATTGCTATGCTGTTAATAATCATGATCACGATGATTAATGTAACTACAGCTTGCAGTGATAAAGCGCCCCTCACGCAGGGCGGGGTCCCAGAGCGCTCGACCGTGGAGGAGCGCAAAGGGCAGCACCTCCGACAATGCAACACACACACACACGCGCGCGCGCAACAACAACAGCAAATGACGTATACGCGGCCGCCTTTCACGGTCTGGAGGCACGTGCCGGGGTGCAAGAGGAGGGTCTCGAGACGGGGCCTCGGAGGAGGGAGCGAGGCGGAGGGACCGTGGGATGGAGTTCCAGAGGGTGGTGGTGGGTGAGGGTGGGTGTGGGTGAGGGTGGGGGGTGGGAGGTGGGCACACACCCAGCACAGTAATCATTACATAAGCATCGATTAGATGAATGCACGAGCCTTATCAAGAAAGACTACAAGTCCCATGATGCTTAGCGCAACTGGAGGCGGAGGGAGGGGGGGGGAGGGGTGAGAGAGAGAGAGACACACACAGAGAGAGAGAGAGAGAGAGTGTGTGAGAGGCTGCGGTCACCCGGATGGCGCGTCCCATCATACAACGCGACCAAGAAGCCCGTCTCTAACCGGCCATTTTGAGGTAATTTGCAAGCGGCGGACGCTGCCTGGTAGAATCCGAGGGAATCCGCTCTGAAGGGGGCCCCATCATGCCCGGCAACCTGCAGGAAGGCTTCGGCTGCGTCGTGACCAACCGGTTCGACCAGCTCTTCGACGACGAGTCCGATCCGTTCGAGATCCTGAAGGAGGCGGAGAACAAGAAAGACAAGAGGGAGAAGGACAACAAGACGGCCTCGGCCAAGCAGCAGCAGCAGCAGCAGCAACAGCAGCCCAAGCGGGAGTCGCAGAAGGACAGGAAGGCGCCCGTCACGGCGGCCGACATCAAAGCGGAGACCCAGGCTCCCGCGGCCTTGAAGAAAGAAGGTAACGAGGAGGCCGAGGGCGGGAGAGAGGGAGAGGGAGGGAGGAAGGGCGGGCGGGCGCTGCAGGCCGGGAGAGTGCGGGGGGGGGGGTCTCGCTATTGGGCGCGCGGGCCCTTGTTTTTTATGGTTGGCCTCTTGTTTTCTTGGGGAGGTTTCGCAGTGTGTGGCTGTTCGCGGGGTCGGGCGGGCGGGCGGGCGATGGGTGGGTTGGTGGGTTGGTGGAGGCCGCGGGTCAGCGGGGCCCTGGCACCTCGAACCTCGTGTCTGGGTGGGGAGGGAGGGAGACAGGGAGGGGAGACACAGCAATGGGGGTTCACTCCCTCCTCCCTCCCTCCCCCCCCACCTATGGTCGCCCACAGGTGTTGAGGGAGGGGTGGTGGGGGGAGGGGGTAAGACACTGCTCACTCCCCAGCGCACTAGCACATGGCATCTTGCTCGTGTGCTGTGGTTTGCAGGTTGCAAAAGTGCCATCCATTTTCAGGCTCCTTCCTTGTGCCTTCCTCGGCCACGCATGGCGGAGCAGTTCAGGTGGAAAAATTGCTCCGGTGGATTTTTTTTTCTCTCTCTCTATCCAAGTAATTCCCCCCCCCCCCCACCCACCCCCCCTCTTCTCCCCTCGCCCGCTTCTTCGCCTTTTATCTCAGCGCAGATTATTCAAGGTGAACGTAAACGTTTGCAGCCGTGCCACCACCACCACCACCACCACCACCCCTTTTCCCTCCCTTCTCGCTTGCCATCGCTTTATCGAGCCGCGCACGCTGGATTTCATCTCGCTTCCAACCGCGGTCGCAGGGTGGAAATGGATTCCACTTTTGAACAATTTACTCCGTAACATCGCGCAAGATACGCGGGGAGATGGGATGGTTAAGGAGAGTAAATTGCATTTGTGTGGGGTGGGGGGAGGGAAATCTTAATTACAATTATTTAAAATAAATTCTTCCTCGTGTGCCCTCTCTCCTTCCCTCGGGGAGCATGGTATAACCGTGTCCACCCATTTGCCTTGCAATATGTGCTAAATTGACTCTGAAAGGCGCAGTTCTGAAATTTTCTTGCTGGGAGGGTGTCAGAACTTTTAGGGAGAAATAAGTAACTGCAGAGGAGCGCAACTTCCAAATTTTGATTTTTATATAGAAATCGTCAGGTTACAAAGGAACAGTGGTATGTTTTAAGCATTTCTGCACCTTTTTAGCATATGCATTTTTATCAGGTTTATGTTTTTTTTAAAAGGGGGAACAATAGAGTATATGATTCTGGATTTTGACAAAAAGTGAAAGTAGTCAGAATGCTTCTATGTGTTATCCCAAAGTGTTGAGGTAATTTATTGCAAAATGTCCTGAAATCCATCTTTACTTTCTTTATATCTTTAAAATAAGATTGGTGAATTGCAAGTTGTTCATTTTGCAGTCGTGTTAAAATTCATGGACTAATTTGTTGTGCATTAGATGGTGTAAGTATTGCAGACTTGCCTTGCTTTACATGTGGATGAAAACACTTTTGACAGTTTTGCTTACATGAATATTGTACTTCTGGTATTCCCTGTGAGTTCAATCGCTTTTTAAGCTTCGAGTAAGAGGAGAAGGTTACAACAGGTGCAACTGAACATGGAGTTCAGCTGCTATCATGCTCCATGATGATAAAATGATTGTGTGCATTCAAATTTCTTTCCTGAATCTGAAATAAACTTGACAGAAAATTATTCCTGCTTTTAAATCTTTCATTGTCTTAGAGTTTTTTCCTAATTCTGTTTGAAACTTCTTTTACAAGAGCTGAGGTGTACTTAGGTTCAGTTTGTTTTTTTGGATTGCTAGTTACCATGTGTGATTTTTGGAATAGTTTTTCTTTAATTCTGTTCTAAACCAGTGAATCATGGAAGTACAGTAATTTGTTGAAGGATTTAGCTCCAAATGTGCAAGAATGTAGTCAGCTCAGATTTGTAGCTCCTTGTTCAATTTAATGCTAACTAACCTGCCAGGTGTTAGTTAGTTAGCTAGCTGGTTAGTTAGTTAGTTTATGTTGCTGAAGCCTGCAGGCCTCACAACTTTTGGTTTCCTTCCTGGACCAACTGTAGCTCAAACGGCGCCACACGTGGTGGCTTATGCTAGGCTCGAGCCCAATCTGCAAGGTATAATGCTGGGATATTTGTAGTGAAGGTGTTTTTAGTATTGCTAGCTTTTCCTATTTACCACCTATAAATGTTGAGGTAAACTGGGCAATATGAATTGGACCTTCTGCAGAGTCCATCCAGCACAGCCATATTGTACCTCCTAGGTATTATATAGTGTTGTAGATGGGAAGTTGTCAACCGATTGTTTTCTTTGTTGATGCCTATTACAGTAACTAGCGGGATAATTACTTTGCTGCTCTACAATAGCTGAGGTGAGGATTAGAGGCAGGGCAGTGAATTTCAATGGTTCTGACAATGGCATGGACTGTTTTTCAATTCTTCTATCAAACTTATTGGATGTACCAAAATGGCTATCCCATATCTGTCCTCTGCCCACATTGCCAGCTGTGGTAGACTGTGAATTTTGTTCCCATTTCCAGCATAATTTTCTATGTATGAGAATGTGCAAGGCATCTTAAGTGAATGTCTGAGTTTATTCTATTTTTCTATACACTTTATATTTGCTGGAATGTTTTCTTTGTTTCACATAGAATTTTAAAATTAGATGAGTGTGTATATGTGTGTATATATATCACTGTCTCTGAGGGTTAAAGTCAATCTTCTGTTAATTCAAACGGCTGCTTTAGTTTTTTGTATTTATAGAGAATTACGATTTTCACAATTCACAATTAATTAGTAATTAAGTAAGAATTTCATTAAAATTGTTTTGAATTGATCAGTGATCTGTGTGTGTGTGTGTATATATATGTGTGTGTATATATTATATAATATGTATGTACATACGCACACTGCTGAAATCTTTCTTGCAAGTGGCTACCTTTAAATATGCTGTGTTTGTGGCTACCTTCTTCCCCAAAGTGATTGAGATTTAAAGGTAGCATAAAGCCTATTGAACATTTCCATTTAAACACTTTTTAATGTAATTACAATATAGTTCATAAATCCTTGCATGCATTTGACATTGTATCCAAACATCTGTAAGCGCTGCAGAGTTTGTAAGGTGTCATAATTATTTGTAGACAAAGGTGGCAGACAATTTGCACAGCTTTTTCTAAAGGCGCTAATGCATGTTTAATGTCGACCTGAACAAGTAGACATGGTTTAACGTTTCATCCAGGACCTCTTGACAACACAATGTGTGTCCCAGCACTGCCTTGGTGTGTCAGCCTGGTCTATGAGCTGAAAGTCCCAACACAGGACTTGATCCTTGAAGGCCCTTCACAGCCTTGCACCTTCCTACAACAACAACAAGATTACATTTGTATTCCTACCTCTATGACTGCCGATGCCATATCAACCTGTCCGCTCCCTCCACTCACCGTTGGCGGACGGACGTTCTGCTTCTCTGCCACACAACCTTTGGAACTCCATCCTACAGTCCTCTTGCTCCCTCCCTACCTCCTTCAAAGCGCGTCTTAAGACCCTCCTCTTTGACTGCACCTTCGATCACCGTCCTAACCCTACCCTCCCTGTCCTCCACCCCTCCTGATCCCAACCGCCTACTCGGGTCCAAATCTCTGATTGTCCAGCACCTCTGGACGTCGTCCTGACATGCAAGCTGCTGTGTAAATGCAATTTGTTGTTGGTTGCTATTGATCTCTGCTGAGGTGAGAGTTTCACCAGCTTCTCCAGGCTGACAGACACCCAACATTGTAGTGTTACAAGAGTGCATGAGTCGAAGATAATTGAATCAATTATCTCGAGGTGGAACATTTGAAACCTTTGTTTTTTAAAATAATTTGAAAAAAAATCCTGAAGTGGGTGTGATGGGCGGTTTATCTCCCACCTGTAAGATGGGTGTGGTGCCCATCGTACATTACTGCAGGCATACAGATAGTTGGCTTTTTTGGCAACTTGTCACATCTTAGTTGTTTCTCAGACTTGGCATGCAATGTCATAAGTGTCCTGAGTAAGCAGAGCTACGGCTTTCAATCACCTGCCCTTTGTTCACCCATTTCTAAACTTGTATTTTAGGCATCAGGCGGGTTGGGAGGAAGCCCGAGCAACAGCAGTCTCAAGGTGAAGGTAAACCCGCTGACAGGAGGCCAGAGAGAAGACCACCCCCCCCTCGTGAGAGGCGCTTTGACAGACCTGTGGAAGAAAAGGCTGAAGGAGGAGGCGAATTCTCATCTGAAAAGTATGTGTGCAGCAGTTTACCCAGCAATAGGTCTACTATAGTGGGACCCTGGGATTGACCTGCCTTGTCAAAACAGATTTTCTGGAAACTTTTCTTGATTAGTTGAGGCCACATGGGAGTTTTGCTGAATCGATGTCGACTGCATTTTCAAAGCGTTTGAGTGCCAATGTTGAACTTGTAAAACTGCAGTACGTAGAAAGGCGGGGCACAAGGCCATTTGAGCTTAACAATAATTATCCTTGCATTTGATCTAGCACCTTAATAATAATCCTTGCATTTGATATAGCACCTTATCATATCGGTGAGACTTTCCAAAGGGCTTCACAGGATATCTTGGTTTAGCCAAGATTGGCCATTATCTAATAGAATGGCAGAACAGGCTCGAGGGGCTGAATGGCCCACTCTTGTTTCCATGTTTAATGACTCATTAGAAGGATGGCACCTACAACCATTCAACCCCCACCCCCGGGGACTGCATTGGAGTGCCAGCTTTGATTGTGCGATTCCAACGTTGGTCTTGAACCCACAACCTCTGGTTACCACCTCTGGCACTCTGACTTAAGATGGTGCAAGTTCATCCAATGAAGCTAAATGCTTCCTAACCTCTGCCCATGTTGTCAAATTCCACGATCTGGTTTGTGGGGGTTGAGGGATGGGGGTAACGAAGAAACAACAGAATATTTCACATTCTTTCTCAAAATTTGGAGCAGTTGTTTCAAACTATAAAATTACATAAGAAATTGAGCAATCTGGACACCTGAAGGACCTAGAATCTTACAGCACAGCAGGAGGCCATTCGGTCCATCTAGTTCCCCTTTGAAAGCTACTATCAAATCTGCTTCCACCACCCTTTCAGGCAGTGTATTTCAGACTATAGCAACTCACTTTTTAAAAAATTCTCCTAGTCTCTCCTGGTTCTTTTGCAAATTATCTTAAATCTGTGTCTCCTTAATGCAATACAGAACAGTGTATTAATTGGTGTTGGTCCCATTGAATTCATGTGAGGATATTGGGTCTAACTGCGCTGCACTTGTACTGAGTTGTGAGAGTTTGAGTGGTGTGAAGCATGGTTGAAATGTTCAGTTTCTTCACTTGTAATTGGCTCAGTTGGTTTGTTTTTTGATAGTTTAAACTAATACTGTTTTGTGTTTTTTGTGTTTCGATAATAACCCCTTCACACCCCCCCCCCCAAGTATCCACTTCATTCCCCGTTACAGATGAGAACCGTCAAAGATAATATTAATCCTTGCATTTGATATAATGCCTTATCACGCTATTGAGACGTCTCAAACCGCTTCACAGAATATACTGTAAAGTGAATTGACCGGCAGCCAATTGTGCACTGCAGTGTCCAACAAACGGTCGTGGATTGAGTGACCAATTTATTATTTTTTATTTGTTTTTCTGAAAGGATTATTACCCCCCGAAAAAGTGAACCACCAATTGACTAACAACTGGGTTCCAACTTACTGCTAGGTAAACAAGCAAGTGGAGTAAGGAAGCTTGCCTCAGGTTTCCTGCCCGGGAATCTAATACCGGTCCTCTCGCTTGTTGGGTGAGTCCTCTGACCAATTCCACTAGATCTGCCATGGCTGCGTGAGTGTTATGATGTCAGAATGTGAGCAGTCATGACTGCATTTGCCTTCAAAAAAAAAAGTCACTGTGATTCATGGTAAATCCTGTGAAGCGCATTGAGGCGTTCTCCCAACAGGAACAGTCCTGCATCCAGTAGGATTATTATTTTATTTGAAGGCCTTGCTGGCTGGTTCAGGGATGGCTCGATTCGGTCACTGGATGCTACCCCGCTTTTTCAAAAGCTGCTCCCACCATGTTATAATGGGGAGTAGGAGCTGGTGAGAGGTATTAAACGTGGAAGAGTGTAGAACTGTAGAAACTAGCCATTGACGCTGAAATAAATATATAGGAATCCAAGAACAAATTGCGTCATAATAATAATCTTTGCATTTGATATAGCGCTTTATCACACCGTTGAGATGTCTCAAGATGCTTCACGGTAAATTGAATGTATATTTTGTAGGCGAAACCCAGGAACCAATTGCACGCAGCAGTATCCCATAAAATATCGTGGATTGAGTGACTAAATTCTTTTTGAGGGGTTTATTACCCAAGGAAAGCGATCTGCCAATCGACTAACAACTACTTACACTAGGTAAACAGGCGTGTGAAGAAAGGAAATTTGCTTAAGGTTTCGCCCCGGCCGGGAATCAAATCCAAGTTCTCTCGCTTACGAGGTGAGCGTGCTAACCACAAATTGTTTGTGATGTAATTGTATGGGAATGTTCAGCACTTGGAAGACTGGCTATCTCCTGGTATGCAAGGGTTAATGGCTCAGACAAGTTATTTATCCTTGAAATGATCTGGCATTTAAATTATTACACACTTAAGGAAATGATGGAGGTTATACATATTATGTGAAGACTAGGAATTGTATCGTAACTTTGAAGCCCTGTTTCTGATCTGAATAAAATGTGAACGTATTCAGTGGTTCAAGTTGAGATCGATATCTAGGGGTAATAATCCCTATATGTATAAATAAAAACAATAATTAGGTCTCTCAATCCATGACTGTTTGTGGGACACTGCTGGGCGCAATTGGCTGCCATGTTTCCCCCACAAAATATAAAATCATTCACTTTATAGTGAGGTGCTTTGAGACATCTGAACGTGTGATAAGGTGCTATATCAAATGCAAGTATTATTTTTGTGTGACTGCCTACAGATACCTCACTGATCTCTGCCTATGTAAAGCAGTTGAGTCTGGGCCTGATATTCTGTGCTGAAGTAAATTATGATTTTCAATCTCCTTTTGAAATTTGCTTATGTATAACAAGGCCAGAACTGAATCTCCCCATCATGCGTTATGGGAAGTTTGAGCTCCTGATGGGAGCTATGGCTTTTGGCTGGGATTGGTATCGCAGTACTCCCAATCTGAGGAGTGTGATCTACCCTCAAAGAGAGTAAACGGAGGTACAGGAACACAGAGCTCACTTGAGCACTTGGTCACTAGGCTCAGGCCGGCTGGTACTGCTGAAGAGGCCATCTCATCACCTGGCTTGATCGGGTGGTCGTGAAAACGGTTATCAGGTCCAAGTTGTCCTATGATGATTTGGGACTGAGAAGAGTTTGGGAGAGGGTGTCTGCGGGGACAGCCCTTGTCACATTGGTGGCCGCGCTTTCAAACCACTACGTCCTGAAACTCTGGAAGACTTTCTCTATCCCTCCGCCTTGTCCCCTCCTTCCCCTTCTCTAGATCTTCAGATATATAAATGCAAGCTTGTGTTGTTAATACAGTTACAATAGCAAGTTACTACCAACAATATCAACATTCATAAAATGTTCATAAATTCTCAAGATCCATAAGCAGTAGATGGGAAATCTCAAGATCTATTGCTTGTTGTTTCTCATGAACTAGCAAGTGTCGTCTCTGAAACTCAAACTAGTGAGCTGTCTCTGGGACTGGCATGCTGATCATCTCATCAAGTTAACAGATCAAATGTCCTTGTCTTTCTCAGTTGTGCCTCAGCTGCAGTCCTGTATTTTCTGAAAAATCGCTGGAACAATTGAGGTCGAGTGGCTTGATTCGTAGAGTAAGGGAAGCGGAAAATTTACTTGCTCTCACCACCTCAGTCGAACACCATGATGACCAATGCTGACTGTGCAGAGTACAGCCTAGCCCCTTTTTAGCAGCAAAATGGCTGGTCTGTGCCATTCTGTACACCCTCGCAAGTCTAATAGATGTTTACCGTTTGGTTTGAGGACGCTGAGACCGTCCTTGGGTACAGTACCCATGAACTGATTTTGATTAAAACATTGCAGTTACACCAACAATTGATGATGGGAAGAGCATTATATCTGAGTATTCGCTGTAAGAGGGTCATTAATACAAATGGCAGTAAACATTCAACAAATGTTACGTAAAACTGTCTTTATTAAATTGTAATGCAATAGCATAGAATACTGTACAGTACTACTGTATAAGAACATAAGAATTAGGAGCAGGAATAGGCCAGTTGGCCCCTCAAGCGCTGCCCCGCCATTCGATAAGATCATGGCTGATCTTCAGACCTAACTCTAATTACCTGCCCTATCCCCATATCCCCTAATCCCTCTATTTTTAAAAAAATCTATCAGAAATAATTTATAAGAACGAAACTTTAGCACAGCAGCTTTGCCTTGTAATAACATTAAACGTAGGAAGGAACTACCAATAACTAAAAGAAAGGTGAATAAATGGAAATATTCAGAAGAAAATCACGTTTACTGTTCATTCATTTGTAGTTCTTTTACGAAACAAATTATCAAGTGTTCACTGCTTTAGAGTGAACACAGTTTTTGCACTACAAGAGATAATTCAGAACAAAACTGCGGAGACTACTTCAGTGAGTGTAGTAAATTTATGGAACTGGCTCCTTAGGTGGAAGTGGAAAGTGTCATTTGTATCGAGAACAAATTAGATAGATTTCTTTTAGAAAATATCTGGGGATACAGTATATAGTTTTGGGATACCACAGGTCAAGTGACTACCAGGATGGTGGAAGGCGAACTAGATGGACTTTGGTCTTTGTTTGTCCAGCAAATTCTTATATTCGTAAGTGTTCTCAAGCTTATGAATTAGTCCAAATAACTCTTCTGTAACTTGCAATGCCTGTGCGTAACTTTGTACAATGTCTATAAGCTTTGAAACATTCATGCAGAGAAGGAACCACGGGTTCACAGTCCACATCATCATTGCAGCTCTCATTGTCCTGAGGTTTCTCTGCCATAAAATACAATGATGTTTTTATCGTCCATCCCTTCAGTTGTCAAAACTTAGCTTTCTAAAGGCGCGGTCATCCAGAATGTTTGAAGCAGTTGGTTATGCTCTTGACTGCGACTTGCTCCCATGCTTTCCTTGTAAGATGCATTGCTCGTAAGATGTCCACTGAAATAGCATCAGTACAGTCCACTAAATCTGTAACTCTCTCCCCCAAAAGGCTGTG